AGCCAATCAGCATATTTTATCCTCTGTGGCCACAATAATTGGCTCAGTGATGGGCATGTGACTCAAGCCAAAATAAGGAGATTAATTTCTAGAACTTTTGTTGGAACAAGTGGAAAAGAGACACTGTCTTTGTTCTGGAAATGATGGATTAAGCAAAGTGAATGTACTGACTCACTAACTGGAAAGAATAATGAGATAACTCACAAAACTGAAGACAGAGTAGCAGGTAGCAGGCCTTAGGGACTGAACTCAATGTGCCCAAGACACACAGTCCCTTTCATGTTTGCATTCTTTCTTTCTTTTCTTTTTTGTTCAGAGAGACTCCCTGCTTGGCTTCTTTTTATCAACAATCTCTCTCCACGTGGAAGGGAAGATGGTTGCCAAGAGTCTTCGGACTACATTTTTTAATCTTTAACAATCCCAGAAAAAAGACAAACACTATATCCCAGTATTCATACATCAGTTTCACAGACAGAATCTGATAAGCTCTGCTTGTGTCATCAGAGTCTTAAGTTTTAAAATAATTACTTTCCCTGGTGGGGCCATGATTGATCCAGACTATGTCATGGATCCAGGTGGTATGTCAGGCAATGAGGGAGAAACGCAAACACAAACAAGTCAATCAAACCACCACTGTTCCTGTCTCGTAAAACTTGTGGGATAGTAGAGGAGAGAAATCACATGAATAAATATAAAATTACTGGTATATGCCATGAGAAGTACATGGAGACTGCAGCAGGGAGAATGATTCATTCTACAAGTTTGGAAAAACTACCCTAGAGAAAGTAACTAGAATTTAGATCAGGAAGAAGGTATGGATCAAGATTGTCCTAGACAGGCAAAACCGCTTATACAAAATCCTTGTGGCAGAAAGGAGCACTGCTCACTGGAAGCCCTAAGGTGAACCCAGCGTGACTAGGGAGAAAGCATGGTGTGAAACAACAGAGAAGGCAGGCAGGGACCAGCCCGTGCAGATAATTGGAGATCACATTTAATATTTTATATTTTTTCATAAATGCCATTAAAAGTCATTTAAACGTCTGAAGGGGCTGGGGTGGGAGAAGGTAGTAAACATGGACAAAGTTGCATTTGGGAAAGATCACACTGACCATGCTGTGGAGCAAGGGTCCCCGACCTCCCTCCCACCCATGGCTTGTTGGGAACTGGGCCACACAGCGGAAGTGAGTGGCAGGCTAGCGGAGTTCTGCCTCTGTCAGAGCAGCAGTCGCATTAGATTCTCACAGGAGTGTGAACCCTATTATGAACTGCACATGTGAGGGATCTAGGTTGTGTGCTCTTTCTTAGAATCTAATGCCTGATAATCCCCCCCACCTCCAACCATGGAAAAATTGTCTTCCATGAAACCGGTCCCCGATGCCATAAACGTTAGGGAACGCTGCTGTGGAGAACAGATTGGAGCTGGACCTAAGTGACAGTAAGAAGATACAATTAACTTTAAGTTGATTTCCAACTAACCAAGCTTTAGGTATTCCTGCCTCCTCCCACTTTTCCATTAAGTAGATTTAAAAAAAAAAATCAGTTGAATGAAACAAGCTTTTAGATGAACGATTATTTGGTTTTGTAAAATGGTTCACTTATTTAGTTCTTTTGTTAAAAAAAAATTTTTTTTTCTTTTCCTCTGATCAGAGTCTACAATTTAGATCCAACTAGTTCTTTTAAAAGGTCAAGAAAACAGGCCCTTAAATACACCTAGTTTCCAGCCTTCCATGCCACACTCACCTGAGTGCTGGTCCCCTTTCCATCTGTAAAAAGTAAATAATAAACTTTACTTCCTTCTAAAAAAACAAAACAAAACAAAGAGGTCAAGAAAACAAGGCTACAACAAGGCAGGAAAGGATGGGGCCTGGCAATTGTTTCGTTCCTACCTCTCACTTCATCTCTCACAGATTTAAATGCCATCACCACTCTCATGACTTCATGAGAAAAGAAAAATAGTTCGAAGCTGTCAGAGATATATTAGGTAAGCAAAATGTATTGGGCCCAGAGAGACCAGAATATAGGACTTCTGTCACTGTTCCTCCACTCACCCATGCAGTGAGTTGTTTATATATTTTGTTCCTGGGTAGGTGCCTCTTCATGTTCATGGAATTTGTGATACAAAGAACAACATATAGCCAATCAATAGCTTATGTTATTTTAGTGTAATTTCTTGGTAAACAACCTGGAAATGGATTCTTCTTGTTTTCTTTAAAATCCTACTTGTAACTGCTGCTAGTTGGGAGTGTATATTCAGGCAACTTGAATCTACACTCCTGGGTGGCTGCCCTCAACCTTTGTGCTTGAATAAACTCTTTTTAAACAAAGTGACCTTTTTTTTTTTTTTTTTTTGAGTTGGAGTCTCACTCTGTCACCCAGGCTGGAGTGCAGTAGTATGCTCATAGCCACTGCAGCCTTGACCTGCTGGGTTCAGGCGATCCTTCTGCCTCAGCCCTCCAAGTAGCTGGAACCACAGGTGCATGCCACCACACCGTTAATTTTTTGATTTATTGTAGAGACAAAGTCTCACGAATTTGCCTAGGCTGGTATCAAACCTCTGGTCTCAGGCAATCCTCTCGCCTCGGCCTCCCAAAGTGCTGGGATTACAGGCTTGAGCCACCATGCCCAGCTTAGAATGACCTTTTTAAATTTTAGGTTGACAACTCTCAAAGTTACTCCTGAACTTTAACCTTATTCCCTGAACTTCAACCTCCCACTTGGATATCTACCAAGGATATCAAACAACAAGTTGTTGATGAAAGATGCCAAACTCTGTAAAATATTTAAGGTTTATTCTGAGCCAGATGTGAGTGAAATAGGTCAGTGGCACTATCCCAAGAGGTCCTGAGACTATATACCCAAGGTGGTTGAACTGAGTGGTTATATGCATCTTGGGAAGACAGAAGTTACAAAAAAACATAAATCAATATGTGTAATATTTACATTGGTTTGCCCTGGGAAGGTAAGACAGCTCCAAGCAGGTCACAGGTGGATTCAAAAATTTCCTGATTGGCAAGTAATAGCAAGAGTTAGGCTTTGTCTCAGGAATTTTGAAATCAGTAAACGAAATGCTGCGTTGAGATAAGGGGTGGTTTAGGAAAGTCAAGCTTCTTGATATGTAGATAAAGCCTCATAGGTGGCAACTCTGAGAAAGAATAGATAGATGTCAAATGTCTCTACCTCCTCTTCAGATCCCCCAGAAGATTCTATACAAATGTAAATTTCCCCAAGAGATGGTTAGAATATTTTTTGAGTTCCTTCTTTATCTGTTACAAGATGCTATGCCACAGTTAGGTTGTAAAGTAAACAAATTAGTAGGGCTAATAAAAAAACAAAAACAAAAACAAACAACAACAACAACAAAACCCACCATCTGATGAGACTCCCCAGGTCCCTGAGTTAGAACTTTGTTAAAAGAAGGTGGAAAAGGTCAGTTTAGTCTTCATTGTAAAAAACGAAATTCTTGACTTCCACCTTAAAAATGGCTTCTTATGTAACTCAGTGCTTCCAAATTGTTCACATGCTTCTTTTGCCTCACATTCCGTATCTAACACATCCACAATCTTATGAGTTCTACTTGTAGAATATGTCCAGAATTCAATTCAGTTTTCATCACTTTAGTTGCTATCACTCTGGCCCCAAGCACTGTGACCATGGCCTGGATTATTGTAACAACTTCCTGATATCCCTTTTCAGCAACTCATCCACATTTTCATCTGCTTCTCTCTATATAATCTCTGGAACACCGAAGACTTTGTCTCTTTCATTTAGTGCTGTGAACCCCAGTGCAACTTTGTAGATGATCCTTAAATACCTGTTGGAAGGAATACATGAACATTTTGTACCACCGCATACACAGTAGTTTATTTAAGGAGATGCTTGAGTGTGTGAAAACTGAGGCTAGGGGTCTTTGTTACAAAGAACCCCCAGACCAAAGCAATGAATGGAAAGTGAGGTCAGCGGATTGAGGCAGTTCCCAGGAGCTGTTTCAGTTTTCCTCAGCAGGCAGGTTTCCCACCTAAGCCAACATCCTTCTACTACTGGCCACTGTGGGTATAAATCTGCTCCTTGCCTTGCACTTCACTCGCACCGGAAAGCCTGATGGCCTAGTCCTCCTCCCGCCCTCGCGACAGGCGGGCCCCACGCGCGGCTTCAGGCTGGAAGATGCACTTCGGATGCCCTCTTAGCCCTAAAGGACCACGCTGGATTCTAGGCCACACGGGCTTCCCCACTGTAGTAGTAACTTACAATCAAAAGTCAGGGAAGAAACCTTTGGAGACTGGATCTACAACCGGGATGCCCACTAAGGAGCGAAGCGCACCCAGCAGAGGGCTGGTCCCTATGGCCTCGGGGGTTGATGGGAAGCGAAGTCGACGTCAATCTCCCTGATCCAACATGGCCGGATACTCGGGCGAGTGTGTTTAGAGGTGAAGATTGGACCATTGGAAGAGGGAGAACAAAAGCGTAATTGTTTCTCTCCAATATGGAGGCGGTGGTTACAGGAGAGCGAGTGGCCAGGGACAACGAAGCATCCAACTGGCAGAAGCACAGGGCCTCGTGGGGGTGCCCCATGGCCACATTGCCCTAACCCAAGATGGCGCCAGAGGCTGTTATCGGGAGCACACAAGAGGCGGGAACTACCCTGATCCAAGATGGCAGCGGCGACTGAGGCGAGCCGGGGGACGAGAGCGCCAGGAGCGACTTTGCCCTCACCCAAGATGGCGGCCGCCGTGGGCGCTGTCCCCGGCTCCGCCCCGCGGCCCCGGCCCCGCCTCTCCCTCGCCCCTCCCTCCGCCCCCTCGCCTCGCCAAGTGCAGCTCGAGGTGCTCGCGCAGGGAGAGCGGGCTCCCGGCACTTGACATGGCGGCGGCGGCG